TTATTATTATTATTATTATTATTATTATTATTATTATTACCTCAATCGTAGGCTAACTACAAAACACAGGCAATCTTAACATATCAACAGCAAGAGTCATCATTGTTAGTACTAGCAACTAGCTAAACGAAACCAATTAAAATAACTGTAATAATTTTCCACGCTTCAAGATTCTTAAAGCATTCTGAACACATTAAAAACGACAACCCTTGCAATATATATTATAAAACTTGTATTCATGCTTAGGCAGTAAAACAAATATTTTTTCTCATTGGTTGCTTTACGTAGTTACTCATAAATTTTATCGGGCTTTACGTTGAAGAACAAGGCATAACTAAAGACAAAAGTGGAACATATTTGGATCGTGCGATTCTTGCTCCAGGCTTAAAAATGGAGCCTTGCTTTGAACCGTGATCGATCTACTTTTTTTTATATTGGCTGTCTAAAGCGAAACGAAGGTGGAAGTGAAACCCTATTTTGATCAAATATTAACTTAACTAGACTTGTGAACTGACAAAAATAAAATAAAAATCGTGCCCCAAATTGTAAACACATAAATATTTGTCAAATTATAGATAATCTTTAAGTTAACGACAAGCTGATGTGAAAATATTAAATTGCAGTGTTCGATAAAGTTTCACGCCTAGGAAATGTACATGATAAAAAAGAATGGCTTTTTCTTACTTAAACGGAAATGTGCCGAGAGCTAAGAGTACCTAAGGATAGTGAACTAAACAAAGTAAGAAACGTGATGTCGTCCTGAATAGCTTGAAGGCTCAATCGCTCAAGCATGTACAATCACTAGGAGTTCATTGATTCTCTTTGCCAACACAATTTTCCTTTTACCCAGAACGTTAATAACATAAAATTTCATTGAAATATGACTTAAAAGTATATAAATTCCATAAAAAGTCTTCATCAGAATAGCATATGACGTACAATTCCGGTATTAGTGAAATAGAGCCATTTCAGTTCGTTTTGATTCCTTGTCGATAATTAAGCCATTAAAGTACAAAATCGAGTCGTTTATTAGTAAAATTAATTAATAAAGATGTCATGATAGATAATTATTTAAAGTATGGTAAAAACATACATTCAAAAGCCACAGTTGTTTTAAATTGAAATCAAAAATGAATGCTGATTTAAGAAGTACTCACCATTGTAATACAATTGGCGTAACAGCGTGCTTTTCTAACAGTAGCTTCATCGTCAAAGACACCACATCGCACAGACATGCATAACAACAGGACTAAGAGAGTAGCCAAGGAAAAACTAATCCTCATCTTCATTTTTAAGATATTTCTTCGCGAGACCAAATTATTCGACGTTCACTGTATGCTGTAAGTGTAAGAATATTAAAGTTATGATAGGGTTGAGTAGGCTTGACGTACTCGGATATAGTTAAGCTGTGACGTTCTCCGTCATGCAGCGGATTTCTGTCTTCAAATAAATATATATGAAGAAACAGTGGGGGAGGGGGTGGGGATGTTACCGCGCAGAGATGATTTAGGGCTCGTCTGCCAACGGAAGAATGTGGATTTGAAAGTAAAACAAACAGATGTGGCTAAACGATTGCTAAAGCATGCCTTCCTTGTCTTGCTAAAAAGCCCTCACGCTAAAAGCATTTGGCCCCGGTATCTGGGTTATTCATTTCTATGCTAAAAAAACGTCATATACGTAAGCAATATCGAAAAATGAAATTAAAAACATTTTTGAATAATTAAATAATTAAATGAAGCTAGTTTACACGGATGGTTTTCAACTAAGAAGTTGTTCCCTCGAAATATATTTAAAAGATTTATAGCTTTAGTTACTAACATCTTTGAGGGGTATGT